TGCTTCCAAGTGCTGGTCAGCTTTGTTGCAGCAATGGAATGATCCGTTGCTGGTACCGAGATGAGAGGTTCACTAGAGGAGTGCACGTGATCAGAGGTCAATTTTCCCTGAAAGGGAGCAAAGAGGCACCCATTTGGCCATACACCCGTGTTATTTACGAGGGGAAAATCATCTTTATTTACCGAAACATGAAATATGCGTAAGCATTAAATTTAAGTTGAAGTCTAGTGCAGACTACCCCCTAGAGGTTTGATTGCTCCTTTAAAGACTTTTTTACATGAGCAGCCGTTACCTGAGGACACGTGTTTATACTTACGTTGTATCTGCAACGTTAAGAGTCCACGTATTTATTTAAATACGCATTTATTGGTCGGAATGTAGTGGCATATGCTGTAAGACCTGCCGAAATGTATCTAGACCAATAAGGTAGTCATATAAACATGTATATGTATTAATTCAGTACTGAATTTTCTGTTTGTAACAAAACACTAACGCCATTATTTAACAAGATTTTGTGCTAGACCGTGCCTCCAGAGAATGGAGTCAGTATGTTCCTCATAACGTTAGTATCTACCTACAAGTCCACACGGCGTTACTCCCCAGAAGGCCAACATCAAATACCTTGACATCTGCATATTATGTTGGATTCTACTCATCTCCCTAAACGTCGATTATGCTCAGGTATACCACAAACAATGTTAACAATGTCCACCATTGTGTTAGAAAAATGAACCACCAGTCTCAGCAAATATTGAATTGATCGTGAAGATTAGTTTTCTTAAAAGTGTGTTACTTCATTCTATCGATCACGTTAGACCCTATTTATTCCTAATTACAACCTGGAGACTTAATTTAGCGTTCCTTGCAGAGATGTGAAAATAATTCGCTGTGATGCTCTTGAAGTACTCACATTATGATGAAATTTCACTTTGTAAACCGATGGCTGAGCCTATATCCGGCAGTCGAAAAACACATCCGCACCCTCTCGAATAGTGTCGGGGTTGAGGGATGAACAAAACTGCAGAATCGCTAATGGGCATATCTGAAACATAATCACTGTGTGTTACTTTGCAACAAGCCGCTAATGCCGAAATCTACACACAAATTTCCTGCGACCGTTAGGTTACATTTTTAAGAAGTAGCACTTGAGTTTTCACGGCGGGGAGTCCGAAGATGACTGTCTTCCAGGTTGTAGTCGCGACTCGTCGTCCTGATGATTGGGGCAGCAAGGACCTTTATTTACTCAGTTTTTCTGAAAGTGACAGTAAGCCAGTCACTGAAAATCGGCTAAATTACTTGTTCCTGAAATATTATACTTCTGACAGGTCCTATCATAATGGAGTAGAACTACGAACACAAAACCTCTGTGCCTTCTGCATTTAAATCAGTGCGGATCATGGAAATTCATTTTTCGGTTAACGTGCACCACCGCGTGACATGGGCAGCTATGAATCCATAGCAGCCACGTGTCTGTCTATTCGCCATTCTCCATTAGCGAGTTTCGAAGGAGCCATTATCATTCAGAATGATAATAACGTCCCTTTGCTTGCATTTTTACCTCTACAAAAAAGAAACAAACAAACTCGTCGTGCAGTTTTTTCGGGTTAATAATACAACCAACGTGCAGGCATATCAGAGCAATTCATTTTATTGTTTCATACCAGAAAGAAAATTGAAAAACGCGAAAGACAACAATGACAGCCAATTGGCTTCATTTCCCTATTTTCGTAGTTAATTAATTTTCGTTGTTTACTTTTACTGTCTACAAATTTAAGGCAATTATGGAAACCTCACCGCTGGGAGAATCACACCAGAACCTCCACTTCATACGATAGACAGAATGATTGATTAATTCACTATTTTAGTACAGGGACTCCCTCGAACAGTGCTCACGAGTAACTTTTGCCCTCGGCTTGTGCGTGCGAAACACCCGTATCATCCGCCGACGAGGGAAAATCTGTATTGAGTCTCTACTTTGTTTTTATCCATGACCACGTTCCCCTTTTCCTCGCTCATCCGACTTATCGGCTTATCTAACCAGTGGTCCCCCAAAATATGTTCCGGTTACACTAGGTTTCTCTGGATTAACACACACACACACAGTTAACACAATGTTATTTCTCCAAAGTTAATATATATTTCTGATTTAACAATGTTTTACATTTTTCCGGTACCGAAGGTGACATTTGATATTTCACATTTTACGTTCTGATTCTTCTTCTCTATTCTTGTCTGTCTGCCCAAAAATTTTCTTCGATGTTTCTCTCCCTCATTATTGATTGAATTCCATAATCCAGGTGTTTGGAGGACGTCCTATTTTCGTTCTTTCAGGCGGTACACATTCCATGACCTTCTTCGGTAATCTCTCTTCTGTCATCCTTTTTGTATGTCCATACCATTCTAATTGCTTTTGTTAGATAAAATCAAGAATTGAATTTTGAAAATTAACTCTATCTCTAATAGTTTCATTCCTATTTTCCCCTGTCTCCACACCCTTGCAGAACGTCTCCAAAAGTCCATCTCAGCTGCCAATATTTTTTTAAGTAACTGTGATTTCATAGTCCAAACTTCTGAGTCATATGTCATGATACTTCTAACTATTGTTTTAAATATTTTGGTTTTGGTGTAGAGATGAATTTATTTTTGATCTAATTTCCTTTTGTTTCCCATAATTTGTAATTTTCACCCCTAGATATTTAAATTCTTCAGCCTGTGTTATTGCTTCCATCCCTCCTTCCAGAACCAAATCTTCATTTATTTCCCCTATTTTCATATAATTTGTTTTATTCAAATTGGCATTTGGTCCCCATGGTTTATATTCCTCTATCAATTTTCTAGTCATATATTCTAGATCATCATAATCTTCAGCTAGAATCAACTGGTCATCAGAAAATTGTAATGAATATAGTGTGTTATCATTTATTGTAATTCCAATATTCTTACACTTTTTCTTCCAAATCTCTAAAGCTTTTTCTGTGTAAATTTTAAGTAATGTGAGTGATATACAGGATCCCTGGCGTAACCCTTTGGTAACTTGAAATCCAGGTGACAAATTTCTTTCTATTCTTATTTTAGATATAGAATTTCTGTACAATGTTTGAATTGCCTTTAATATAGTAGGATTGGAACCAAATGATAGTAAAGCTCTCCATAGATTGGTTAAAGGAACACTGTCATGAGCTTTTTCTATATCCACGGTGGTTTAGCGGTTAGAACGCTGGCCTTGTAATCCTGGGGTCCCGGGTTCGATTCCCGGCGGTGCCCGAATTTATAACTTGTGTTGGGCAAGGCCGCGGTCTAGGCAACACAGAGTTTTTCTCCGGGGGCTTCCCCGGTTTCTCTGTGGCATCCCAACAATTACTCCATTCACACACAGAAGAAGGCAATGGCAAACCACTTCTGGATCATCTGCCAAGAACGTATACGAACAGGTCCCAGTCCGAGAAAAGGATGGAAGGATCCTGTTCATATGGACCTGTCGTCAGACAGAACACTAAATAAAATTAATAAAACACTAAATGAAGAGGTTGTTCTCGATAATTTGTTGTAAGCAAAATATATGATCTATTGTAAATCTTCCCGCTCGAAAACCTGCTTGTTCTTCCGACTCCATTTCCTTGTACTGTTTTTCTAGAAAATATTGAATTATTCTTCCATAAAGTCTACTTAATGTGCTGGTTACTGTTATACCCCTATAATTTTTACAATCATCTTTCTTTCCCTTTTATGTATTACGGAAATACACGGTGTCCCGTTCAAACCTCCCACATTTTTATCAGATCGCAGAACAGAAAGTATGAATGGTAGGCAAATTAAATCACAGAAAATACAAGAACAATTCAAAAATTTTATTTGACACACACTAATAAACCTCTACATGTGTACCATTGATAGCACGAACAATATTTAGTCGTTATTCAATTCCTGCCATATTCTCTGCAACATTCCCATTGTTACAGTAGTAATCGTATCACGGATGCACTTATGATGATCAGGCTATGGATCTGCTCTGCTAATAAATCCCTGTGCTGCCTGTGTGCACAGTAGACACTCATATCTAATGACAATGCTCTGATGTCCACATGAAAAGCATCTTCCACTTTTTCCAACATTCTTGGGTATTGCAATGTTGTGAGCATGGTCAGACCTGACAAAGGCTTCTGCCATGTAAATGAAAATAAAAGAAAGAAGGGACCAGGCAACAAAAGAGAAGATGTTGAAATGTAGCCAATTACTTCTCTTTAAGCCCAGTAAATTTTCAAAATCCTGATGACCCAAGACTGCAATGGATTATGTAGGTTTGAGGGTGTCTTATCAATGTTCTAAATCTAACCATACCAAATTTATGGTAATGCAATTCCTCCAAATATGATGAAATTAACTTTAATGACTCAATATTATGTAACTGGGCAAGGCTAAAATTTCACATTACAAAGGGCAAGAAAACAAACTATATGAAAGTCACAAATAAGCTGGGAATAGGACATTATAATTTTGAACAGGTGCAGAATTTTAATTACCTGGGTTCACAGATTAATACTAGAAACTCAGTAACTAATGAAATGAAAGCACGTATTGTGAATGGTAATAGATGTTATTATGCCTATCAGAATTTAATGAAGTCTAGAATATTGGGGAGGCAACTTAAACTGAGAATCTATAAAAATCTGATAAGACCAGTAGTCACATATGGATGTGAAGCCTGGACATTAACTAACTTTAATGAGCAACAACGTAGAATATTTGAACGCAAAATATTACGAAAAATCTATGGTCCAATACAGAATAGTGATGGCTCCCGGAGAATTAGGATGAATCATGAACTAGATTGTATCATACAGGGAGCAGATATCGTGAGGCTGATCAAAAGCAAAAGGTTAGCCTGGCTTGGCCATGTTGCAAGAATGGAAGGAAACGGCAACTAGAAGAGCGATGGAATGGAGACCGATGGGAAGTAGGATGAGAGGGAGACCACGCAAACGATGGATAGATGACGTGGAGGAGGATGTGAGGACGATGGGAGTGAAGGGATGGAGAAGAATTGTGAATAATGGGACAGAATGGAAAAAATTCATCGAACAAGCTAAGACCCACACAGGGTTATAACGCTACTAGAAGACGTTATTCAGTGTTGTGAAGAATTCTTGATTATACAGATTTGCACTAACTGAAAAACAGAAATAGGTAACCTCAAACATTCATGTCAATCCTAAGTTTAATTATTAACACATACAGAAATGCTTGATACAAAATATGATACATAACAGCACACCACACCAAATTTAAACTTGCATAGTTACAGTTACTCAGTGTTTACCACTGTCAAAGCAAAAAAATAATTACTGATTTTGTGCTCTTCGCATGTTATTTTAAACCAAACACTTAAATTACACTTACACAGTTGCACATTTTATCTAAAAATCTATTACCATACAAATGTCAGTAATCTACATTTAATGTTGCCAATCTTATTCACATATCATAGGTTGTATTGTTAATGGTAGAGAACTGGAGACATTGAGGATATTCTTCAGTGGCATAATATCCATACTAACTTGTATTAAAATCGGAAACTTGTTTTAAAGGCTAATGGAAGGGACAGACATTGCACATACTCACACAAACATACTGAAGTAATTATTAGCCTTTCAATCGAGGCTGAACATCAAAACTCTTTGAATTGAAATGCAGTTCATGTTCTAATAAAGTGAATCATGTTATAATTATTTTTAATGGCATTATATTGAAATATTTTAAATTATTCAAAGTATCTTGCAATACATACAGAGAGCAAACTTACCACTTTCTCAATGTTTCCCAATGTTTTATGGTCAATGATTTTCAACAATATGTTTGAAAATAACATAATATTAACATTGCTACAGCGCATTACACACATGGTAAAATTTAGCATCTCAATGCTAGTTTTCATTTAATCTCATGGTGATGTTATCTGCTTGATGTCCTTCACACATACACTACAACTGCTCTTGCCAAAGGATGTTTCATCTCAATTAGGAAATGTAATCTTTTTTGCTTATTTAAGGTACTAACATTTGAATCACATTTTCAACACTATAATTTCTAATCAATATTCATTCTGAGTTTGAATTGCTTGAGGCTGATAAATTATTATTTATCTTCCTTTGATAAGTTCAATTTAAAGTTATTCAACAAATGAACATCAACAAAGAAGTGTAATCTATGAACTAGTGTACGAAGGTGTGGAACACAAAAATCAATCAACAACTGCAAATATATTTTGTGCAGAAGCTAAGAACACCATCTTCGATTAAGGTACTGACAAAGTAATCTGTTTTTCAAATCCTTATGGTGACAAACATCCCCATTAGAAAAAAAATTACATAGAACAAAATACAACATTTAAAATTTGAATGCCGGACATCAGCACTCTTTTCATCCAGCGATATGCTGCAACTAGCTGACACTGAAGCATCATCAAGTCCTCTATTTGCACGCGCCACAATAAACTTGCACTCTATGAATGTGCCTGCAAATACAAGACAAAATTTACTTCCTATTAATTAAGTCATGTTTAAAAACCAGACTGGCATTTACATCTGATACATGGGAAACTGTCTTTCAAAGCAATGAAAGGCTAACAATGCAGACATATACATTGTATCAATGATGTTTAAATAATTTTGTGGTTCTTATGTTACATGGTGAATCTGCTAGACATCAACACTATAAAGAAACTTCCAAAGACTTTCTCTTATGTTACTGCAATCAGTGCTCTTGCCATCTTACTTAGCATGAGTCACATGGTATATCCCTACTCTGAAATGACTGTATAATATTACACCTATGCCATGGGGAAAAATGGTAATTCTGACACAACTTTACAAAAACAAAAAGTACAACTTTAAATTTTTTATCAGTAGACAGGCACTGGAATTGTGTTTGTGCAAAGAAATAACGGCAACTGGCAAAATTTATAAACAATAATAAAGAGGACCTCAAGTTGGGACTCAGAAAAAAGTAAGCTGCTCACATGTGATAAAATACGTATTTAAAGCAAAATATTCCAATCTAATGGCCCTTCACATAAAAATTATAAAAAGCTTAAAAACTACTTCCATATATTATGCACAAGGTAAATTAGTAGTTAACAAATATATTTCAAGATGTTTCAATAACACTCTCAAATATAGTGTTCGACATTTCAAAACCACTTTGGTAGAACATTTAATCTAATGCAAACACATTTAGAAAAAAATGAAGTGGACAAACGAGAAGGAACTCCAATTTTAAAACAAATTAAAATACATTCAAAGCTACTTTTGTTACAGTATGACACAGCATAAACATCAACAAGTATCTAAACAATGAAAGACTTTAGGAAAAAGTGCACAGGGCAGAAAATGTGTTTAATTTTTCTCTAATACTTTTTCTTTTCTAACAAATATTTAGTGAGTTGTGGTCAATATGGTCACAGAAATGCTAGTAGGTCTTCATGTGAGTGTTCATTATTCTTATATAATTCAAAGAAAACTGGAATGGGTTTACAAATGCTCGCAAATCTCCCCTATATCAAATTTTGTTCACAAATTCCAGATGTGTTACATGCAGACATTTGGACAGAGAGAAATGACACATAAATAAATCGAGGTTCATGGAGGGATGTTTACAGGGCCTAGGTTGGGAGGTCTGAATGGATGAGACAGCTGGGAAGACTTAGGTGTAGGTGGGAGGACAACGTTAAGACAGACCTTAAGGAGATAAGAACTGATAGAGTGAACTGGATGTAGTTAGTTAAGTCCAATGGTACGCTTTTGTGAAAATGGTGATGAACCTCCAGGGTCTATAAAGAAAGTGGGCTATAGTATACAACAACCTTTTCAAAGAATATCCTGCACCACATAGTGACAATATCACAACTGGTGTTCACATTTGACAAATCACAAACTTAACGGCTTCACATTCACCCGCTGCCTGATTATGAGGTTATGTGGTTTTACTCAGTCCCTCCAGAAATATGTTGTGGTTATCATGAGTGATAAAATGTTGAATAATCTTCCCAGCAATTTTATCATTATCTGTATTATTATGATCTATGACCCAGAACAAAACACTTAAAAAGTGGCCAGAAAACTTATGACGTCATTACGCAACATCGGGACATATGGATGGTTGGAAAATTAAAATTGTTAATACCTATTCCTGGTGATTTTTTCAGTGTTTATGGACTATCAGAAGACTCCGTAGAAGACTATTTAGATGTCCCTTCTTCCAGAGGCTTTAGTTCCAGCAGAAGCTCTATTAAGTTCCGACTTTCTTTTTTCATCCGCTGTTCACATTCAGCCACTTTCTTACGCCAATAATCGTATTTAAGCTACAATATACAACAAAATAAGAGGACATAAAATAATAAGGCAGATAAAACTGCATACACATGTTCGATAGGAAATTGTTAGCAAATGATTACTTGTCACCTGAGCTGGAATAGCTACGTTAAGTAATTAACTTTGTGGAGAAATCCTAGGCCAGTGCGGAAGTTAATTACGTGCATTTTATACAACACAAATGCATGCAGAAAATGGAAGTTTCAGTGCTAAGTAAAGAACAAATTATATACACAATTTGTGTGACAACCATTCAACATATCAAAGACAAGTGAACATTTGCAGGTTGAACAGCGCCATCATATTGTTCTTTGAACTCTATTCACTTCATTTAGCTAATTGTTTAAACTTCCTAATTAATACATCTTGTAATTATTCGGTATTAAACAGAAATAAGAACTATGTAGGAATTAAAAGTCAGATAACCAGCTTAAATTAAAACATAAGACTACAATATTTGCTTACATAATATTTATATTTTATCTGTAACTTACCAAAAGACCTTCATATTTAGCTCTTGCAAGTGCTGCGTCACTTTCAAGTGAAAGAGATCGATCAAAAAGAAAATTCAATCCACACGTGGCGTCATCAATATTTTTAATTGCGTCAAAGTGAGCTCTTTTATTTTTTTCTGAAATAGATCACATTATTACCACTAAATTACTGGTGTTTTGATCTTTCCTTATAGTAAAAGACAGCCATCTTCAGAATCAACACAGCGGAAACTTCAAATCCTACTTAAAAAATTCTTATTTCTGTGACAACATAATTCTGATTTATGTTGTCACAGATGCTTAAAGTTCATTGGTAAAAAAAGAATATACTTGTACCACATGCATTTAAAGATCCTGAGATGTCTTACTCTGAGTAGAACGCATGTGTTTAACGATCTCTTGTAATCGTTTCAATTCCTCATCACTGGACGCAATTAGTTCCTTGATTCTTGAATCCTGTACGTCAATGATAATTTTAGAATCAGCAGTAAGTTCACGAGCATGGCAGATCTGTTCAAATATATCCCAGATATTGTGGAAGAGCAAAAGCTTTATGACAGGAATTTCATTACAGGGTTACTGCAGAATGTATTTACATTGCTGTAAATACCTCAAATATTACACTCTAAACTACGTCTTCCAGTTTTGGTTTCATATGACAAATGATATATACATATGTATCACCCAGAAATTTGCATTAATTCTGAATATGAAGAAGAAATGCTAAACATTTGACTGCAAAGTGCAGTGGGTTTACCACAAGAATTACTTTTTGCACGATAGATACAATAGTTGACTATATGGTTGCAGTCTGTTTACAACAAAATTAGAATCCTTAACAAAGCAGAATAAAATGTATTATAAAGTACACATACCTTCTTTAGTTCACGGCTCTCTTTTGCCTCGATTTCTTTATCAAGATTCTTATGATTCTTACCAATATTGGTGAATTCTTTTACTTGTTCTTCAAGGCACGTATGAAATTCTCCCTTACCTTCGCTGCCAACATTTTTCTGAAAAGAGTGAAAACTTTAAAGCTATGCAAAAGCAAAAACCAAATGTATTTGATTTTGTCAGCAAACTAATAATTGAAGATGGCTATCTTCTGGGTTGCAGACATTATGAAGTATGGTAGAAATTCACTAACGTTTTAGAGTTGCCTGCTGCCTCCATCATCAGGGCGTCAATCTGATGATGAAGACCAACAGGGACCTACTACACTACAGAGTACCATAACTCAGAATACAGCTATCTTCATATTCACTGCTGTAAGGACCTAAAATCCCATTCAGCTAGTTTAACAAATTAGAAGAATGAGTGGAAATAAAGTCTCAATAAAACATGTTGTGAAAAAACACATACGTCTAGACGTTACTTCTTGTCAACAGCTTTCGCCAACTTTGCCTTTAAAACATATTTCGTCTTTATGAAGAACTTCCATACGTACCATCTCAATTTGCATGAGCAAGCTTTCCAGCTCCTTATCTCTACCAACTTTTTAGACTTCAATTTTTCCCGATGTGACTTCATCTCCTCAGAGAGATCACGCAACGAACTCTCCAAGATCTGAAAATATATAATTACCATGTTACGTTCTTTCACAAATTATTTTGTTAGCCACAGTTACATATAAATACAGAAACCAAATACTGGAAATGAAAATGATCGCCACAAACAAAAATATATTGCTGCAAGTCTTTCAGGTTATTCTCACAGTCAATACGTTTTGATGCTAACTCTTCCTTTAATGCCAAATTTTGATTCAGTTCCTTCAAGTGTATATAATATGTATATTTCAGTATCAATCAGAAATGGTAAGCCTAGGTAACATGAAAATATTCACAAATGAATTTCGGTGCTAGAAGTTGCACGGACAAAGCTAGATGCCATTCCACTTCAGGTAAATCAAAAACCTTTCCAGCTCTTCTATGTTTGCTTATAGCCAGGCCAAACTGTCTTATTCTTTATGCTCAATTTTACATAACTCCGAAGGAAATTCTGTGACACAGTGCACAAGAGGAACAAACAAGTTCTATTTCTATTCCTACTTTTGCCACGGCCAATTCATTAGTCTCTTCAATACTAGTTTAAGATGTGTCAGTAGCTTATGAATTGGCCAATAGTCACTATTTATGTTTAAAATCTGTCTTCAGATAGTAAAACAATCTACTTACTAACTAGATGGCTTACCAAACACGAAGGTTCATCACCGAATTAACCAAAGCCCTCCACTGGACCCTGTACTGGGCCAACAAAATCCAGTCTCCTTCAACTTCTGTCTCCCATAGATTCCGCCTGAGATTATCCTCCCATCTACGTCTAGGTCTCCCCAGCAGTCTCTTCCCCTCAGGCTTTCCAACCAATACACGATGCACTTCTCTTTTCCCATCCATGCGCGCTACATGCCCCGCCCATCTCATTCTTCTCGACTTAATCACCCTGACAATACTGGGGGAGGAGTATAAATTTTAAAGTTCCTCATAATGTGGTTTCTACAGACCCCATCTAGCTGAAACTAGATCATGAGACTACAAAAATAAATGTATTAAAAATAAGATGTACCTCTAGTTGCTCGATCACTAGCTTATCCATGGCTCTTTCTTGAAAATCCCTGCCGAAAATCATAAAAGAGTTAAAACTTCAAAACTGCAACTGAATTAAATATGTAATAATTATCTACCTTTAGGTTTTAAGGTTTCACAATTATTTCAAAATAAACTCTGATCTTATGGGTCATTCTGCTATAATTATATCTCTTTAATAATTGTCTAGTTGTTTACTTTTGCCACAGGAACCAAGCCATCGTCCATTCAGGGGAAGACAAAGTACAGATTTACGCCGGGAATGCGTTCCTTGACAAACCGGCGTAAATTGAAATTCTTTTTTAATGTAAATCAATGGCAAGTCAATGACATGCGTTCCCAGCACCCAAACATTGAAGATTAATATAAGGGCATTACATTTAAAGATCTGGAATAACGTAATTAAAATAAAGGGAATTTATAAAGATGTCAGTGAAACCACAGTTCCGGAGAATTTGATGTAAATACGTCTATACGGAAAGGAAGTTTACGTATATATTGGCTTTATTCTAAATATTTCCTTTATACATGCTTTACATTTGAGATAAGTATGATTGAGACATTGTTTATTTAATTTGAATTAGTTACGCTTAAGATAGGTCTGTGGTAGCTAAATGTAATGTAAAGAAATGTATTGTAAGGTAAGGTAAGGTAAGGTAAGGTAAGGTAAGGTAATGTAATGTAATGTAAGGTAATGTAATGAAATGTTTTATAGGTAACAACAATGCCGAGTAAACAGATGACGTTTCCTAGGTAACAAAAATGCCGAGTAAATAGATGTTCCTTAGGTAACCATTATTGTCGATTTGTTGATGAACAGTTCAAGTTCCCTAGGTAACCATTGTTGTTTATTTGTTGATAAACAGATGAAGTTTCCTAGGTAACCATTGTTGTTTATTTGTTGATAAACCATTGTTGCACTTCTTCGTTCCACTTTTTTGCCGAATGACCCTTCTTTATAGACGTACTTACGTCAAAAACAGTTGACAGTGGAACCACGGTTCTGGAGAACCTGACGTAAATTGTAACCGTCCCTTTTCTTCCACCACACGTCACACTGCTTGTTTAGTATACTCGTAGTCGTAGCCTGGTTTGCTCATATGGTTACAGCTTCTTGACGTGGGATGTGTAAAGATACAGAAAGGGATTGTTGATCATGGTGTGAGGTTGTCGGTGAGCACGAGTTTCCGACTCCCTGGGAATATACGGGAATTAGAAGGTGGAGCAGGTTTCTGCACAAATGGA